TATACCCTCCAGAATATTTTCGCGGTAATATTCGGGATTTATTCTGATGCCACAGTCGATTAATACGAGGGGAGAGCAACTATCGGCTGTTATGGCGGCCCACACCATCACCATGGCCGGCGCTTGATTTTTGGTGGCCGGCCAACCAAAGGTGCACATTTTCAGCTGACCTCTTTGGCAAGTAAACATGATCATTCTGTTTGTTTACAAACTGTTGGATAACGAATGTTTTATCTGATCGGAGAAAGCCAAATTCGGCAGTTCACCCCTTTTTGGGCCAAGCGAAGCAACTCTTCAGCTCTTCTGAGTCTTGATTTTCTTTCTGTTCCGTGCGGTGTAAGTTCTTGCACTTTTTGGAATTTCAATGGCTTTACCCCGATCTCATTTTTCAATATTTGTCGAATTGAATTTGGCGATATGTTCAGCTCGTAAGTCATTTTTCGGCCACTGCGACGCGGGTTTCGATCAAGTCGCCTCTTTACTTTCCGAACCATTTCTGCTGATGTTGCTGTTTTCTTACGTCCACCTTCTTGATATCGTTGGGCTACGCTACCACGGTACCACAGTAACGAGCGATGGTACGAGACACAAAAGATTTATTCACATTTAAATGCTGGAGTGCTCTAACGATAGCCACTTGTGGTTTTCCAGACAAATATAAAGAAATTACACCATCATGAAGCTTGAATTCCATCACGAATAACTTTTTTCCGGGAAAATTCTCTCCAAAATCCTTTGGTATGCTTTTAAAAAATATAATGAGCTGTCCCTGAAATAATTTTAACAGCTGTCGGACGAGTGGCTTAGAAATGACAACAGTCTGAAGTTGCTTGCAGTTTTTTTATCTCACCTTGTATATGTATATACATTTCCAGAGGTCCTTTGTGTAGTCTTGCATGTATATCCTTTATCACAACTACTTACATAATTATGATAGTTTCGCGTTTTCCATGTTTACTCCTCTTAACTACAAAACCCAACCAAACGGTGGTGGGGAGAGGGGGAGCCTTATCATATTTTCCTAAGAATGTCTGCCTTCCTGGGTAATATGAATCTTTAAGTCCTCATTTTCTTTTGGTGGGTGGTGGGAGTTAAGGAGTAAGGAAGGGTTGGGGGGTTGATGAAACGGCGAATTGTAAATCAGCAATGAATTTTATCTCTGGCACAAATTCTTATGGGCGTTGTTTTAAAGTTTCTTCTATTTTAGTTTAGCTAGCTACTGCTGCCATAGCTTATAACATTCACGTCGTTTAGTTCGCTAAGATTGTAACTGCCGCGTTGTTGTATTCTTCGCCATAGATATTTCGTATAATTAGTTTGAACGGCAAACTTATGGAACTTTTGCATTTTAAGATTGCTTCCATTCTAAGCATGGTTGGGGGTGGGTGGCGTGTTTCGTCCAACAGCTGAGCAGAGCTAAAAAGCTAGTTAAATAAATAATTAAAGTTTTGTATGTAAAGACGAGTAGATAAGTTAATATATACTTACATACAACAGAGATAGATATATAACTCAAAAGCGAGGGGGTATGTAATTTAAACTATCCCAGAGAAACTAATTGCAGCAGATTTTAAAATGTCCAAAATTAAAGCTTCAAGGATATTTGCTTTCTTTTTTGGGAAATATTTCTAAAATGGTGAATATCCCGAATACAAAGCTAATTGCTCTGGAGATTAGTTACTTTCCGCATTTTGTCCAATAGCCATGCCGAGCTAAAAGCTAGTTAAATAATTAACATAAAGTCAAATACATATATTGATCTATACATACCTAGGTATATACAGGGCGAGATGAAAAAACTGCAACCAACTTCAGACTGCTGTCATTTCTAAGCCACTCGTCCGACAGCTGTTAAAATTATTCCAGTGACAGCACATTATGTTGTTTACAAGCGTACAACAAAAGCATTTTGGTCAGAATTTTCCAGAAAAAGTTATTCGTGATGGAATTCAAGCGTGATAGGGTGATTTCTTTATATTTGGCCACAGAGCATCATTCGGGCCTCGTGTGTCGGTTTTATTGACCGTTTGAAGGCCATAATTCGTGCCAAAGGTATTCGAACAAATCTAAACTTATTCTAAAATTTGATGCTATTTCCGACATTTTTTGATTTCATTCAATAAAATTAAAAAAAAAAAAAAAAATTAAAAATTATGGAATTTGACTTTGTTGTAGTTTTTTGTATCCCAACCTGTATTGCCGTGCATTTGAAAGAAATCCACGATAATAGCTTTCCAAAATAAGTTTAAAAAGGTAACCCCAATATGATGATAAAGACTCTACAAAATAGTATATATAAATAAATTAAAATTGCAATAATTAATCAAAAAGCAAAGACAAAATCTTATCACCATCATCTGTCCTTTGAGACGCCACAACAACTCATTAAAGGCCATCAACAAATGTCTTGGTAATTTTATTACATGTCCTGCCAAGATTGGAAGCGACCGTAAAAAAGGGTTACATTTTACATCCAAACAAGTTTGGCTGGTGATAAAGTCTTCGTCTAACCAAAAAAGAATTCAATTTCTTTAGGATAAAAAAGGTGCTGATTGCTTGTAGGAGTGTTTGCCTGGGGTGTTAAATAATTATTTTAAATAGGATGTAATAGCTTTTGGACTTTGACGAAGGTGTCGTGATTCAGGTGACATGAAAAGGATGTTTATAAATCATCATTTTTTTTAATGCTGAAAGAGTTGGAGGGTGATTGTGGGTATACGTTGCATATAACTTCTTAATGGTTTATTTAAAATATTGCATAGACCGTGTCTGATAAAGGTCATCGTGGCGAAAATGTTGCTTTTCTTCAAAAATCAGTCCTTCGCCATGCTCGAAACCATTTGACCATGGAGAAAATGTTGCTTTTCTTCAAGTATATATTGTGTCTTTCAACACAACTTTCAAAATCAATTCTTCACCATGCTCAAAACATTTAATTTTTCCTTTTTTTAATTTCTTGTTTCATGAATTTCCCCCTCACCTTTCCCTTAAATAACGCTAGGCAATTGATTATTCTCGAATGGTAATTGATCTTTTCTGATTGACAAATTGTGGCGCATGGTAAAAAGCGTGTTACCTCCTCTCCATGGCAAGCACGCTGCTAGACATAAGCACGCCGTTTTGCTTGCTAATGATGATAACACACAAAACACGTTTTTTTTCTGCCCAAATCCATTCACTTTCAATTGAATTCCCGCGTCTCCGTCATAATGATGATTATGATGTTGGGAAATACATGCCTGCCTAAAACAAAACAAAAAAGGTTAATTTATAATTATTTACATTCATGATGCATAGATGGATTGATACAAATATCTGTTTACCCATAAAAACAATAACAACAATCATATTAAATTGCCGGCTACCAACCAACAACCACGTGTTTTACACAACATTGATGATAATGAATTTCCCTTTTATTCATTATTAAATAGGCATTTGCCGGTCCACCTCTTTCATTCTATCTTCCTTCTTTTGTTTCATTAGGTAGCACATAAGCGATAAAAATTGTTATCTCCATGCTGAACATCAGCTAAAAAATGTAGAACAATTTATATTATTAGTAGATGTGTGTTCAGAAATAGGTATATAAAGTCAGAAATCTAATTTACCAAAAAAAAAGTAACAACAACAAAATCACCGTTTGCTGATAATGAACTGCGGCTATTTTGTTTAAACGTCATTGACAAAAAATCCCACTCAAACATGCCAACCCAATCATTGACTACCGCAACAACCACCAAAGATTCTCTGCAATAGAAAAAAAAAGAGAGAATCATTCTTCCCCAAAAAACACACACATAAATACATATTTTAAACGAAGCCAAATCAAAAAACCAAAACAAAACTTGTTGCCCCACGTGTTCCTCTTTTTTTTTTTGCGGCAAAAATTTAACGCTTTGGAATGTAGCAGAAATAAAAGCAAAAACAATCATTAATAAAACCACACTTCCCACCCATAATACAACTCTGCTCTCTTTTATAAACAAAAATCCTCTAACCACCTTTTCTCATTACAATGAGGAAAATGTCATGGGTTTTTTTGTTCTCTTGCTCGCTCTCCCTGTGTTTTTTTTTCTTCTAATGATGGAGGGCTTAGTTCTCCCCACAAAACATTAACATTTTGTTTCTTTACACAGTTTTTTGTGTATTTATTTTTTTCTTTCTTTCCTTGCCATCTTTGCAAAGAAAATTTTGATTTTTCTTTGGTTTGGTGGCTTTTTTGACACTTTATGATGGTATTTTTGTGCTTGGCCTTCGTTGACTTTGGCGCCAAGCCAATGCTATATGATTTTGTTGTTATCTTATGTGTTGGTCGGTTTTTTCTCGCATTACAATGTCAAGGTAGTCTGTTTCAGGTGAATGACTTTTTTGGTTTGTATTTTATATGTTTAATTTACATTTTTACTTGGTTTGCCGAGTTAATTAATAAATCATTGCGATTGCTAAACTATATACATGTTGTTCTGTCAATTTCCGTTAATGCAGAAAGAGAGCATCCGTTCTATTGTGAATGGTAATGCAGTGTAGCCAACACCTGTTTTACTGCCTTTTACATCAGCTATTTATATTAAATGACAAATGCTACCGTCGTTTGGGAATATATGAATAAAAATTGTGGCAATGGAAGGTTCTCAGGATTTAATTTGATATAATCTGATTTTACTTTAGTTACTTTATGCAGTGTGTATCCTTTTTACATATCCATTAATGATAATAATAAGCATTCACTCTATTGTGAATTAGCTACTTTTTAACTGCCTTTTAAAGAAAATATATGTGCTGTTTTTTCACACTCATCTAGAGACCCTTAACTTATTCCTACCAGAACCATCAGAACCATTTATACCACATCCTTTTTGATGGAAAGAATTTCTCTAATACATAAGGATCTTTTAAGATTACGACTCCACCTTTCTTACTGAAATAAAATATAAATATGCATATAAAGATTTTTGGAGCCAAATTACTTATTAAGGTCTTCTTCTTCTTATTTCCAGGAGGCGGCAAAGACTTAATCACAGCTGTTACCTATGCCAAAAAGAGTACCATAAAAAAGCAAGGACAAGTAAATAACAATTCATTGCTGATATCAAATCAAACGAGTGGTGGAGGTGCAGCATCAACAGCATTTAATCGTAGCATAATGCCTAAGAAAACCCCTAGTCCGGCCGGTAAGTTTTTTCTTCTTTGTACTAAACTATGAAACCAAACTTCATATCTTCCATTTACACCCCTCGTACATGCTTAACCAATACTAAAAAAATGGAAATGTTGGAAATTATTAAAAATAGTTGGCATGCCTGCCCCTGCCCCTAGTGGGTCAACAAATGTCGGTGGAGGCGCTGGTCCAAGCACTGAATCTGCGGTCGGTGGTATGCCAGCCTTTAATACATCACAATTAATGGGTATGGCTGCCTTGGCTGCGGCCATGTTTAATGCCACCAGTGAAACTAAAACAACAGGTTCAAATAGTAATAATAGCACTACTGGTCTCAGTGGTAGTGGTGGCCTAGGTGTTTTGGCTGGTCTCCAGGCTACAACATCAACGGCCTCCAGACAAATGCCCCCAAATTCTGTTAGTTATCAAGCCAATACAGCCTCAGGCCTAAATAAAGCCGCCTCTTTATTGGCGCAGAGTAAGTGTAGTAATGTTGGTAACAAACCGATTTTTTAGATTCTTGGTATCTACTCATTATTTTTTGTTCTAAAAGAAAATACTTTTTATTTGTTTTCCAAACTTGCTCTATTATAGCAAAGCAAACATTGCCTTGAATATAATTATTTTAAACATTCTATTTTCAAATTATTCCCCCCCTCCCCTCCATTTTTTTAGTTCAATATTCGTATTGTGAATTTTTTGTAGTTTTTAGTTCTCAAGTATTCCACAAAAATCTATTTTGTGATCTAATTCAATTTTTGGCATTTGTTCATATTTACTTTTTGTGTTACTCTTCTTCTTTCATGTTCCAACCGAACCATTTGTCAAAAAGTATTTTTCAAGATTTATCATCAGAGATGGTCTATTTTAAGAGTTTTATTTTTGGTATGGGTCAATATGAAACATGTCAGATTCGTATACGTATTATACTCGTATAAAATATACTGCGATTTTAAATTATGGTTTTAACTGGAGAGAAGATCTTTATTTATAACACATAAAAAGGGCGCAATTTTTCATAACATTTCGCTATGGTGAAGTAACAAGTATTTTAAGCAATACTCTTTGTACAAAATACTTTGTACATACTTTTGAGTGAGATTGAGGCGCTGGGAAAATCCAACAATTAAAAATAAATATTTCCAAATTATCAGTTTCCCAGCGGTCATAAAATATCACATGTGTAGAATTAAGTGATCTTGTGCGCTGTCGCATACGATAATGTGTAAGATAATAAAGGTCATGACCCACACACACAGTATCGATGCGTACAGTGGATAGCCAAGACCACTTGAATGAAGGGACAAGCACCCATGCAATGTTTCTTTTAAATCTAATAATAGATAAGAACAATTGTGTGGCTGCGACTAGGTTAAGTTAGATTAGTTTCAGTAGTACGTAAGGAACATATTTTAAAAATAAAATTAGAATTGAACCAACAGACAGACGAAACGGTCGTGTTTTCTCTTCTCCCGCTTACACATGGTCAATCGAGCCTTCACTTTTTTATAAAGTGGAAATAACTAGCGGCCGTAAAAAAATTGTAGGAGTTTTCCCCCACCAGTGGTAAGAGACTCACTACAAGCAGAAATAGATATTCTCCAGAAATAGAGGAGAATTTCTACAAAAAACAAAGTCCGTTAAGGCATTTTAAATATAAGACCATAGGGGCATTTTGAAATAGCCGAAGGGACTAATTTGAATAAAAAAGCCATAGGGGCAAAATAAAAAAAAAGCCATAGGGGCAAAATAAAAAAAGCCATAGGGGCAAAAACAAAAAAAAAAAGCCATAGGGGCAAAAATAAAAATAAAACGAAAAGAGGACAACAGAAGTCCCAAATAAAATAAAAAAAAAATATATATACATAGTTTTGAAAAGAGGACAAAGAGTCCCATCTAAAAAATTTTAAATTCATTCAAAAATGTTCAAAGACATAGAAGAAGCTGTCACCACTTTGGCAGACTATTTCGAGGTGTTAACGTCGACGTCAACCTTTGAAAAAGTGAAACACGTCGAGGCATGGAAAGTACTGGTAGAAAATACATATTACCAGTTACGACGGTACTTGAGGATATACCAAAAATATCTTCCAAGCCATATGAATGCATTACCATGTGAGGTGGATATGTGTTTACTGTCGGCAATGAAACTTCTAACAACTCGGAGTCGGAAATCCACAGATATGTACATCGATGATGAAATCGAAGAGTCGATGAAACCTCCATTAGGATGGATGCTCTCCGTAAAATGTGACTATTCAACTTGGGAAGAACAATTGGAAGAAAGCAGACAATTAAACTACGTAGAAAAAAAGGAAGATTACGACAGAGAATTGGAAGATGGTTTGCACGGACAAATGCGAGCCTATGAACACAATTTACAATCTCTGCAGGGGCAAGTAATCAAACTGCGTTCTCAAATAAAAATCGAAGTTGAAAAAAGTGAACGGATATTGAGAAATGCGAAGGCCCACGAAAAATATCTGCTCGCCCAACATGAAGAAAACATGCGGGCCAAGGATGAAGAATTGGAAGAGAAATATCGTGTTCATAAAGGTCAAGTGCGACATCTGGAAACCAAGTTAGAAAATATGAATGAAAAATTAGCTAGTTTGGAAGGAGCGCGGCAAGTCGTCGAAGCTGAGAGAGATGACCTGCCCAAACAACTGACAAATTTAAGAGAGGGACTTAATGCTGATAATCTAAAACAGATTCGCTGCTTAGAAGGTAATATTGTGAAGTTTTTCCCGCCGGCAAGTCCTCAATTTGAGGAACAAGATGATGGAGGAAATTCAGAGGTCGAATCCGCCCCCACCAATGAAGCACTCGGTGAAGAACGAATGGATTTTTACGATGACAACGAAAAGATTGATAATGGGGACTACCTAAATATACATTTGGTAAGAGAAGAAATAAATAATCTTGTTGCAGAAGAGACAAAAGAAGGAAAGCCGTTATGCACAAAAGGCCCCAACATTTACGGCGAATATAATTATTACGACAACGATTCTAACGGAAAAGAACGCATCGAAGAAGTGGGAAAAGCCGAACAAATTTCTCTGGCTCCGGTTCCGAAAGAAATCAATAGCAAACCGTCAATGGCCATTAAAACAGAAGACGACAAACCGAAACTTACCATAAAACCATTGCCAATACTTTTCTACAGTGATGATGACAGTCTGCAACGATGGACTATCAAATCGGCAGCATGGACAATGAAGCCGGCAGATAAAGGTGGCGGTATCGACAAGAGAGACTGGGCAAAGAAATGGAGTCGTTTCCTGAAAGCGGTTACTTAACGAGACATTCATATTATTTTACATAGTATATACATGTTTATATATAGATTATATTTCATATTGTTATATTTGAATATTTCGTGCCAATCATTTTATAAAAAAAAAATACAGTCCACTATAAAAATATACACATTTAAGCCGCCCGGGAGAATGTACAAAATACTTTGTACATACTTTTGAGTGAGATTGAGGCGCTGGGAAAATCCAACAATTAAAAATAAATATTTCCAAATTATCAGTTTCCCAGCGGTCATAAAATATCACATGTGTAGAATTAAGTGATCTTGTGCGCTGTCGCATACGATAATGTGTAAGATAATAAAGGTCATGACCCACACACACAGTATCGATGCGTACAGTGGATAGCCAAGACCACTTGAATGAAGGGACAAGCACCCATGCAATGTTTCTTTTAAATCTAATAATAGATAAGAACAATTGTGTGGCTGCGACTAGGTTAAGTTAGATTAGTTTCAGTAGTACGTAAGGAACATATTTTAAAAATAAAATTAGAATTGAACCAACAGCCAAACGATACGGTCGTGTCTTCTCTTCTCCCGCTTACATATGTTACACATTATCGTATGCGACAGCGCACAAGATCACTTAATTCTACACATGTGATATTTTATGACCGCTGGGAAACTGATAATTTGGAAATATTTATTTTTAATTGTTGGATTTTCCCAGCGCCTCAATCTCACTCAAAAGTATGTACAAAGTATTTTGTACACTCTTTGAATTTGTAAAATGTATTTTTTTATTTTAAATCCAAGGATAGGCTTACTAACTTAACATCCCGAAATGGAAAATATTGTCAATTTCGTTTAGAATCAATGCAGTGATAACGATTATAACGCAAAATAAGCAAATAGTCGTTTTTTGTGTCATCAACCCACGGTGAATGACAATAGACAATAATTTTAAATGAGGCTAACAAAGCATTTATTTTGTATTATTTATGGTTGCTATTTATTTATAAGAAGGAAATTACTTTTTTGGTCCCATAGGGAAAACATATGCTCCGTTGTGGAACAATTTCATACTATGTCATTAATTCTTTTAATACCTCTCAAATTGTCATCTATATCATTCTTACTCTATTGTGAATGATGTAACTACTCATTTATTAACGTAAACATAAAAAGGCGGGCAATTCTACTTTCCTTGATTAAAGAAATAGGAAGAAAAACTTAATTGTTTTGCAACCATAAGGGATCAGTGGGGTCTTGCGATAACTCCAATACATCTTCTAAGTATTTATATAACTAAATTTGCAAAAAAAAACGTGCTATGTTAGTCCGAGGAAAGGCAGAAAGGGAAAACTTATATGGCCTTGAAAGTATTAGAACCTTTGGAGCAATGAAGAATTATAAGGAATTAGATCGGATTTGAGAAACAGTTGCAGTAAAGTTTAGAAAGGGGCCACAGAGTTTTGGCTTTTTCATTTTTCCAGACCGTACGCATTATTCTAATTGTAAATAGTTATATTTCATTTTGTTGTCTTTATGTTCTTATCATTTACTAGATCCTGATCCTGTACACTTTAACGAGAAAAGATACGAAATTTATCTTGCCTTATTTATTTTTGATTTTACATATTTTCCATTAATGCCTATATTGTTTTCCCAATTTAGTGACCATGGGTCTTGGAAGCATGCAACCTGCCCCCGCACCCGCTGCCAGTACGGGCCTATCGACACAATCCAAAATGAATAATATGGTTTTGCAAAAGATACAAGCTTTGGTGGCAGCCAATCCACAGTTTTTAACCAGTGGTATACCCAATCAATTGCTACAGCAGCTGCTAATGCAGCCCATGAAGGTATGTCACCCTCAAACATAAATGACAAATATGCATTTTACCAATGATTCCCCCTTATGTCTACAGCAAGTTACTCCCGCCCCGGTCTTGGCCCAACCAGAAGAAGATGAGGCCGATTACGAAGAAATGGGCGTGGCCGAGACCTATGCCGAATATTGGCCAGCAAAATGTGAGTAGGATTAGATAAATCCCCCTTAAATTGAACTAATATTTTGTTATCTCTCTTACCTTTACGTAACCCCAGTGAAACTTGGCAAGAAACATCCCGATCCTGTGGTGGAAACAGCCTCATTGTCATCTGTAGAACCCTGTGATGTTTATTATAAACTATCCATACCCCTGGATACCATACAAAGTGGCCAATTGAGTGCTCTGCAATTAGAGTCCATAACCTATGCCTCGCAGGCCCACGATCACCTGCTACCCGATGGCAGTCGAGCAGGCTTTCTTATTGGTGATGGCGCTGGTGTGGGTAAAGGTCGTACCATTGCTGGCATCATATATGAAAACTATATGAAGGGACGCAAAAAGGCCCTTTGGATATCGGTATCAAATGATTTGAAATATGATGCCGAAAGGGATTTAAGTGATATTGGGGCCACCAAAATTGAAGTCTATGCTTTGAATAAGGTATTTAAACTCACATACAACGCCATGATAAAAAACAACACTAATTTTAATCTTTTCCAGTTTAAATATGCCAAAATCAATTCAGAAATCAATAACAATGTGAAGAAGGGTGTCATCTTCAGTACCTATTCCGCCTTGATAGGTGAATCCAATAATAAGACTGGTAAATACAAATCAAGACTTAAGCAATTGCTGCAATGGTGTGGTGAAGATTTTGATGGCCTCATCATATTTGATGAATGTCACAAGGCGAAAAATTTGTGTCCAGTGGGTTCGGGAAAGCCCACAAAGACCGGTCAAACGGTATTGGAATTACAAAATAAATTGCCCAAGGCAAGGGTGGTATATGCCTCAGCCACAGGTGCTTCGGAACCCAAAAATATGGCGTATATGGTGCGTTTGGGACTCTGGGGCCAGGGTACAGCATTTCCAACATTTAATGATTTCATTGCGGCCGTGGAGAAGAGGTAAGGGGGTGGGAAAAGTCAATTAATACTTTGGGAGATACTAATGTATTCCGCATTTATTTGCAGAGGTGTGGGTGCCATGGAAATTGTGGCCATGGACATGAAGCTAAGAGGCATGTACATTGCCCGACAACTGAGCTTTCATGGTGTAACCTTTAAAATCGAAGAAGTCCCATTGTCCAAAGAGTTTCGCCGGATCTATGATGAGTCGGTTAGATTGGTAAGTCTTCTATTCTTCCGTTTTATTTGATTTGTTATTTTAACTAATTTTTTATCTTTAAGTGGGTTGAGGCCATGCAAAAGTTTATTGAAGCCGCCGAATTAATTGATGCCGAAAGTCGCATGAAAAAGACCATGTGGGGCCAATTTTGGTCGGCCCATCAGAGGTTCTTCAAATACTTGTGTATTGCTGCCAAAGTCAATCATGTGGTACACATAGCCCGTGAGGCCATCAAATATGGCAAATGTGTGGTCATTGGTCTGCAATCTACCGGTGAGGCCCGCACCCTGGAACAATTGGAAAGAGAGGATGGTGAATTGACGGATTTTGTATCGACAGCCAAGTAAGTTTGCTCTTCTATTCTGATTTCATTATCTCTATTTCAAATTCCAATTTTGTTTGCATTTGCAGGGGTGTTTTCCAATCCCTTGTCGAAAAGCATTTCCCAGCCCCCGATCGCAATCGCATTAATCGCATTTTGGGCCTGTCCGAACCAGAAAGTCGTAAATCCATACAATCGATCATTGCCGAAGTCAAGGCCGCGAATAGACACAGAAATGATGCCTCCTCCACCTCGGCGAACAAGCGTAAATCTTCAAGATCCGATGTGGGCAATAGTAAAAAATCTCGCAAAAATTCCTGGGATAATAATTCGGATGATGATGACGACGATGATGATGATGAGGACGAGGATAAAGATTCTGACAAGGAATCAAATAATGATTCAGATGTCAAGAATTCCGAATCTGAGGATTCAGATACGGGCAATCACACTGATAGCTATGATTCGGAATCTGATTTTAATCCCTTTGGAGCAAGTGGTTCTGATTCAGACACAGATCCCTGGTTGGCTCGAGCCAAAAAGAAGAAGAAAAAGAAGGCAAAGGCCAAGGAATCGTCATCATCTTCAGCATCTGCCAGTGCGCTAACAAAGGCCAGTTCCTCCTCCTCCACATTGGCCAACCATAATAGCTTTTCTTCAACGCTGAGCAATAGCTTTAACATTTCGCCACCCAAAAAGAAAGTCCCCATTTCAACACAGGACAAGATTCAAGATTTGTTGCAAAAAAAGCAGGAGCTTAAGGGCACAGTGACACCCATTGGGGTGCATGGCGTCAAACTGAATTATGGTCCACCGCCCAAAGATGCCATTGAAAAGGCATGCTCCATGAAGGAAGAGTTGCTGAGGAAAATAGAATTGCTGGGAGAACGTTTGCCACCCAACACATTGGACCAGTTAATTGATGAGCTGGGCGGCCCGGATAATGTGGCCGAAATGACAGGTCGCAAAGGTCGGGTGGTCCAGTCGGATGATGGCTCCATACAATATGAATCACGTTCCGAGTCAGATGTACCCCTGGAAACTTTGAACATTACCGAGAAGCAACGTTTCATGGATGGCACCAAAGATGTGGCCATTATTTCAGAGGCAGCCTCCAGCGGTATTTCATTGCAAAGTGATCGCCGGGTGAGGAATCAAAGAAGACGTGTCCACATCACCCTGGAACTGCCCTGGTCTGCTGATCGTGCCATCCAACAGTTTGGTCGCACCCATCGTTCGAATCAGGTCAATGCCCCCGAATATATTTTCCTTATCTCTGATTTGGCTGGTGAACGACGTTTTGCCTCGACCGTGGCCAAACGTTTGGAATCGCTGGGAGCCCTGACCCATGGTGATCGGCGAGCCACCGAAACGCGAGATCTTTCCCAATTCAATATTGATAACAAATACGGCCGCACGGCCCTCGAAACTGTGATGAAGGCCATCATGGGCTATGAACAGCCTTTGGTGCCACCGCCCACCGACTATCAGGGTGAATTCTTTAAGGACGTTGCCAATGCCCTGGTGGGTGTGGGTATTATTGTGCAAAGCGAGACAACACCCGGACTGCTGAGTCTCGACAAGGACTATAATAATATATCCAAGTTTTTGAATAGGATACTGGGAATGCCGGTGGATTTGCAAAATCGTCTGTTCAAATATTTCACCGATACCCTGACGGCCATTATAAATCAGGCGCGCAAGAATGGGCGTTTCGATTTGGGTATTTTGGGTGGGTTTTATAGCTGAAAATCATTTTTTGATTAAAGTAATAATGGATGTTTGTTTTTTCAGATTTGGGTGCCGCAGGAGAGAATGTTACCCGTGTGAAATTGGTGCGTTTTATACGCAAGCATGCCACAGGCAAGGCCCCAGCTGAGCTGCACACAGTGCGCGTGGAGAGAGGCATGATTTGGCAGGAGGCAATTGAGAAGTGCGTAGTAGTAACGTATAGAATTCTAAACGAATTCCCAGAGCCAGACATTTTTTGTTTTGTCATGATTTTCATGGTGTTTTAATTGATCTGCTTTTTTTTAATTATTTTAGATATGCCGATCTAATTGGTGAACATGAGGGCTTCTATTTGTCACATCAGGTGCGCAACAATAAACGCACCGCCATCTTGGCCGTGGAATTGGAAAGCCAGCCCCAAAATCAATTGCAGGCCAGCAAGAAAAAAGAGGGTGGCGGCAAGCCAAGTAAAAAAGATATCATGTTCCAAATCTATCGTCCCAATACGGGCTTGCAGGTACGCCATGAATCATTGGCCGAAATTGAAAAGAAATACAAAAAGGTCACAATGTCAGAGGCCGAAAAACACTGGACCGAACAATATGATGCCTCGGTGAATACTTGCTCGCATGCCTATTGGAATGGCAATTGTCGTAATGTTAGCATGGGTTCCGAGTGTGAGGTGAGTTTTGGATTTTCATATCAATTTGGAATTTTGTATTAATAAATCTTGATCCTTTCCAGGTTGGTTTACGCCAGCGTTTATATAATGTCTTGGCCGGTTCGGTATTATCGGTATGGGCCCGCGTGGAGCAAATTCTGGCCATGCGTAATGCCAACAACAAAATGCAAGTTATTCGCATGAAAACCACAGAGGGTGAAAAAATTGTTGGCACTCTTATACCCAAGTCATGTCATGAGCTTTTACTACAAGATCTTAAGTCTGATGCGGATCGAGTTGAAGAAGTGAACTTCTAAAAATACAACAAAACACAAGACACACAACAAACAAACAAACAAAGCCAGAAATATAAAACAAAGATATTGTACTTTAGTTTTCTTAGAAAGTACTGTGAAGAACCTGGGTTAGAAAGCATACAATTTTAAGTTGTACAACAAAACACATGGAAATTCAAATAGTGAACCCAACAAAAAACAACAACAACAACAAACCAAAACGACGCTTAATTTATGGACTTTAATTTTTCGTTTAAGTTTTTCTTTTCTTTTTTTTTCCTTTCCTTTTTACAAAACATGATGATTGCTATTATTTTTTTTATGAAAAACAAAATCCAAAAAAAATAGCAAACAAAAAAATTAAACCTACAACAAAACCAACAACTTATATATATATGACTTTTATAATTATACCTATACATATAATTAATTATAATTAATATTTAATTATAATACTTAATTATAAATAATAATAATAATAGTAATAACATTTAAAACAACTCATCAGAAATGAAAACAATTTTCAAATTCAAATAAAATTCTGAATATTTGAAGCAAAATAAATAAAATATCAATCACATTTACTTTGGAACTTTATTGGAGATTGAGTAACACATTTTACAAAATTTCACAAAAAAATGTTTCCAATGATTATTTTTCTATGGAAAATGTCTCCAATATTTATTTTCTTATGGAAAAATGCCTCCAATGGAAATTTTCCTATGGAAAAATGCCTCCAATGGAAATTTTCCTATGGAAAAATGTCACCAATGCGAATTTTTCTTTAGAAAAATGTCACCAATGGGAATTTTTCTATAGAAAAATGTCACCAATGGGAATTTTTCTATAGAAAAATGTGACCAATGGGAATTTTTCTATAGAAAAATTTGAACAATGGGAATTTTTCTATAGAAAAATTTGAACAATGGAAATTGGTTAATTTTCTATAGAAAAATGTCACCAATGGAAATTTTTCTATAGAAAAATGTCACCAATGGAAATTTTTCTATAGAAAAATGTCACCAATGGAAATTTTTCTATAGAAAAATATCACCAATGACTATTTTTCTTTAGAAAAATGTCACCAATGGGACCTGTTCTATAGAAAAATGTCACCAATGGGGATTTTTCTATAGAAAAATGTCACCAATGGGGATTTTTCTATAGAAAAATGTCACCAATGGGGATTTTTCTATAGAAAAATGTCACCAATGGGGATTTTTCTATAGAAAAATGTCACCAATGGGGATTTTTCTATAGAAAAATGCCACCAATGGGGATTTTTCTATAGAAAAAGTTCAACAATGGAAATTTTTCTAGTTCAACAATGGAAATTTTTCTATAGAAAAAGTTCAACAATGGAAATTTTTATATAGAAAAATGTCACCAATGGTTATTTTGCTATAGAAAAATGTCACCAATGGTGATTTTTCTATAGAAAATTTTCAAAAATGATTATTTTTCCTTAAAAAAATGCCACCAATGGAAATTTTTCTTTAGAAAAATGTTACCATCGTCCTTTTTTTTATAATAAATGTCACGAACAGCGAAAAAACGATATTTTTTAGATAATTTCTGTGGGAAATATCACCAATAACAAATTTTGAATAGAAAAGGAAAACATAACCTCAAATTTCGGGAAACATAACCTCAAATTTGTTGTCAATTTTTATGGAAAATTTCTAGTGTTTTACTTTGTTTGAAATGAAGCAAATATTTCCTAAGCCAAATTTTTTAAATTTGTCATGAAATATTTTGAATTTTCCTTTTAATTTATTTCTAAAGTTGGCATATCAAAAATGGATTTGATTTAGTGCTCAAACTCTTAAAAGATCCAAAGTACGATTAAACAGATACAATTCCAACAGTACGACATAAATCCCCCCAACATATTGGTAATGAATTAATTTATTTTATTGTTTATTTATATATAAAAATATTTTTTCGTTATCGTTTTTTGTTTCCAAGTTTATAAAAACACACCTACCTACCTACTACAACAATAAGAATCGACATTTGTTTTTTCCTCCTTTTTTCTTTTCCATATTTTATTATTATTATTTTATGCCGAATTAATAAATTTTATTTATGTTATTGTTCTCCACCATAAAAACAAAAGAATTCATAGGTTTATTTGATTTTTAAAATTATTTCTTAAAAAACATATATTTTTAAGCACTTTTTTTGTAGTTTGTAACATGTAGTTTTGTAGAAAATTTCGTAAAGAAATAAAAAAAATGAGGAGAAAATTGCAAAAAAAAAAAAAAAAACAACTTTATGTTTAATGTAATTGTACATTAATTTAACAACAAAGAAACCAAGCAAAATAAAACAATGAATATTGAAATAAAAATACACAAACAAAATGTTTTTATTCTTATTTGGTTTTTGGTCAACACACCATAACTCTACGTTTCGTTTTTCACTAATTGTTCTATCACCCAACTTACACAGCTACCACCCCTACAACTTAAATCCCGAATGTATGCTAACAACGCCGAATGTTAAATTTTCATAGCGCACCATACTGAAGCCAGCATCAACAATCATTTGCTTGAAATCTTCTTGTTTGGGAAACTTTCGTATACTTTCGACCAAATATTGATAGGGTTGCCATTGGCCGGCCAATATTTGGCCCATGGGTGGGATAACATTAAAGGAATATTGATCATAAATCCACTGCAAGGTGTTACTATTCAAATGGCTAAACTCCAGGCACATGAAACGACCGCCAGGTTTTAAGACACGATAGGCTTCACTAAGGACCTATGGAAAATTACAAGACATTACAATTTGGTCTCTTAAAATCACCTCCCCCCACATACCTTATCAATATGTGTACAATTTCGAATACCAAATGCAATTGTATACGAGTTATAGGAATTATCGGCAAACGGCAAATTCTCGGCATCTGCACATTTCCACTCAATGGACATATTTGACAATTTCTCCTCGGTTAAACCCAATTTCTTGGCTCTTTCTTCGCCCACATTCAACATGTGTTGGTTAATATCGGACACAGTGACATGACTTTTCAGACCCTTGGGGTTGGCCTGGTTCTGTAGATATTTGATAAAACGAAAAGAAATATCGCCCGTACCGCCAGCCATATCCAAATGACAGGTGCCATGTTGTGGTCCCAAACGTTCAATAAATATATCCTTCCATACACGATGTATTCCCATCGACATGGCGTCGTTCATGATGTCGTAGGATTTGGCAACATCTTCAAAGACCTTGTGGACTGTAAAGTCGCAATAAAACAGTTATCAACCGCAATTATCATCCTTGGAAACATGTGTTTGCAATTACCTACCCTTCTCCACCTTTTCACTTTCCTTAATGGTTTGGAAACCAAAATGTGTCGTACCCTCCTCGTTGGATGTGGTTTGATTTGATGTAGCCTGTGTTGTCTGCCATCGAATTGATGGAGCCGCAAATCTGCGTTGACATTGTTTCAACTGATTTAAACAAAAATTACGTGTTATATTCATGTTTCTATATAGTCCAAGTTACGTCCAGTTATCAGGGTTATCAGGAGGTCTATATAGTCAGTCTATATAGATGAAGTTATGAAATGTACCGCGTGGGAAACAAAAATGAAAAACGTCCCAACGAAACGAATATGAAGGCCACAAAGGAATACCCGATAAAAAAGAAACAGAAAGCAAAATCCCCGAGGGACACTTGTTGTTTACGAATGAGACATGAGGAAAACTGAACACATTCAAATAAAAGTTTCTCTAAAGAGAGTATCTGAACCAGTTCACATTTGTTCTTCCTTTGTTGTTCAACATGGGGAACGAAGAACTAGTTCATTAATCTTAATAAAAGACGTAATCGGCCAGTGAACAACAAACTGAGTTACTGAGAGATTAGAGAGATTTTTTTTCAAAAATAGATTATTTTATATATTTTTTGTTATACGACGCCAATTGGAGATTATTATGATATTAATATTTCAACAATTTTTACGAATTTGAATAACTTTTCATTCAAAATGTTCAATTTCAAATTTAGTTTGACAATTCATTGTCCCAGCAGCTGTTTCGAGGCGATAACCTGTATTCTTCAACCATGGTTAGAACATGACAATAAAGATAAGGTCACATTTGGCAAAAAATTAACGAAAAAGTTCAAAGTTTCATAATCTGACCGCCAAATATTATCCGCATTGTCCTTATCAAAATTTTCTAAATAAATTTAATAACTTTCTCCATTTTGGATTATTTTGTAAAAAAAAATTCCACGCTACCCTGCCTTGATTTGATTTTGCAAATGTGCCTACATACATGCAAACATTCAAAAATTCTGAAAAAGCACTCATATTCCTATTCCTAGACATTTGGTCTTTTATTTGCCTTCTCCAAAATAAATAATACACGAAACTCCAATTTCTCTTCATGCCTCTCTTTCAATCTCTCTCTACTAATCTCGGTAAAATAAAATTATGTTCCCTCACAGTTTGATCAAAAATTTCATTTGCAAATATATATTTTAACAATGTGAATATATCTCAAACATCCCACAGCTGTGTCTGACACAGTTTAATGACTGTTTGAACAAACAAAATTTGTCAGATACTTGACTGTAATGTGAACATCAAATCAACTCTGTATGAATTTCACATTTGTTCAGTAAAATATGTCAAATATGGGAAAACAATTTTGGTTTAAATATTTGCTCAGCCTGATCGTACCCTAATAATTCTAAGATTATGTTAATCATTCACATTGAATGTCAACATTATCATCAGCTGTTCATCCTAAAACACACTAGTTCCGGGCTCTTTTAGTGAATTTGTTCAATTTTTTCATGTCTCATTCGTAAACAACAGGTTACACGGGCGTTACGCATTACACTCATTCGTAAACAACAGAGTACCCCGAGTCTTTGCTTTCTGTTTATTTTTTATCGGGTATTCCTTTGTGGCCCTCATATTCGTTTCGTTGGGACGTTTTTCATTTTTGTTTCCAACGCGCTTGAAGCAGAGACGACAACCAACTCTCAACTCCTGTCAGCAAGGAAGGAAGAGTTCTCTCGGAAGAGGAAACCTCCACTATCGGTATTCTATTTTGGACTAGACGGCTCCTCCTGAACGTGATTGGAACTCATGGGACGACAGCCCTAGGTCAGTTTAAGACCAAATTATAAACATATATTCAAAGTGGAAATGTCTGCGGCGAGCAGAGTTCCTAAATGCCGCACATGCTTAAGTGAAAATGAAAACATTCAATACTTTCGACTCAACGACTATGTCCAAGAAGAGAACTCTAAAATCTTGGACATTTTGGATATATTTGTGCCACAACTAAACGTAAAGACAGATAATGGCTTTTCCCAGCAGATCTGTCAGGAATGTATCAACAAATTGCTATATTGTTATCGATTTCAACAGCTATGCATAGAATCTAATAGGCATTTGCTCGGTGTTGCAGCGATTGAAAGTGCCCTCCAGGGGGGAGGAGAAATGCCAACGGGTTTGGAATCTCTAAAAGGAGAAGTTGTTTGCAATGTGAAAAAAGAAGACAGTAATGATGAGATTTGTGATATAAAAACTGAAGAAATACAATTGTCATTTGATACGGGCTTCAATGACGACGAGGAGAAACTACAGGAGGAGGAGGAGGAGGGAACAACAACGTGCACCGACCTCACAGATGTTCTGCTGGAGGTGACAATGAAAAGGAAAAAATCGAAATTGGTACATGCATGTAGTACATGCGACCGTACCTTTAGTAATGCCTCCAATTTGCGCAGGCACAGCAAGTTACACGATCCCATACGTCCATTTCACTGTAGTCGGTGTAAATATTCCTTTGATACGGAGAAGGCCTATCACCGCCACATGTTCAATCATAAACGTTCGTCAAGGACACGTACATTTCAATGTCGCGATTGCCCGAAAATATTCTGGGAAAAATCATCACTTGTCTTACACTCTAAGTCCCATAACCGCACTAGATGTAAATCTCGGCCCAATAGACTTGAGGAGAGGGGTAAAATAATTTCTATAAAAGATGAAATTATTACAAATAAAGCGACGGGGGAGGAACATTTAGAAAACGAAACAGAATCGACGGGTGAAGTTGGAAACAAAGAACTTCTTCCATATGTCAGTGCAAGTCAAGTGAATAAGTCCACCACTCCGAAGAAAGTCAAGTAAGTTGTTGGCGTTTTTGTTGTGGAATAAAATTAGAGAACACTTTTGTTTTTTTACACACCATCACCGTGAAACGAAGGCAAGGAAAAACCAAGGGAGATAAGCCTTTCACTTGCAATATATGCGGGAAATCTTTCAACAGAGCCAATTGTTTGCGGAGACATAAAATTATATTGCATGACAAGAATGGTCCATTCCGTTGCTTCATATGTAAACTGCGATTCGATACAGAGCGACGATATCGTTGTCACATGCTTTCACGACATAATATACAACTTCCTGATGAGCCCGATGCAAAAGGCGAGGGAACTGGGGAAAATCCTGCAGATGATGAGGGGCATTTGGATACTGGTGAATATGAGGAGTAGGTTGAGGTAGGTTTTTTTCTGATCAAATTAAAACACATATGTGTCTTATAGAAAAAATGAGGAGGGGGACAAAAACCACTTGGAACAAAAGGTTGACGATGACTCCAAAAGTGAAGCCTATGTGGATTTTGTCGATACTGGCATAGGTGAAGTTGAAAAGTATCAAACGACAATTTCAACCCAATAGGTGCACATTTAAAAACATACAAGTTTTTCAGACCCAGGCGAACTTACATAAGAGGCCATTATCCTTGCGATGTGTGTGGTACAATTCTTGGTAGTCCATATTGTTTAAAACGACACATGCCACTGCATTCCCCGGACAGACCATACGCTTGTCCCTTGTGTTTATACAGGTTTGTGTCCCCTTACCAACTTCGGCGCCACTTGCTAAAACACGAAAATGCTGATGCCGATAAACAATCCGAAGGATTCAAATGTCCCAACTGTACCAGACGATTTCAATCGAGAAAGTCATTAGGAATTCACCGCACTCTTATGCACAAACGTAAAAATATAGAATTAAAATCCGATAGTGAGATCAAAAAAACGGGCATTGTGTATCCCTGCAAGGAGTGTAAACAGCACTTTAAGACCCTAATATCGCTGACAGAACACATTTCAAAGGATCATCCCGAGATGCAGAAGTACCAGTGCAATCAATGTGAAAAGACATTTGTTTTGCATGCCATGTTGCAGGAACATTTGAATCGTCACCGGGGTATTGAGAACTTTATATGTGTATTTTGCGAAAAGGTCCTGCACAATAAGGCAGCGCTCGAGGATCATATGCGTTCATATAACATGGCTAACCAATTCCTTTGCACAGAGTGTGGCAAAACATTGACCTCTGCCAGCAACTTGAGCCAGCACATGGAACGCCATTCGGGCAAGAAAAAATATGCCTGTACACAGTGTCCCGGTCGTTTCAAGTGTCGCGTTGATCTGTACAATCACAGTTTGACGCATAGAAATGTAAAACCTTATGTTTGTGATGTTTGTGGCTCACGTTACACCAGAGGCACCACATTAAGGTTGCACAAATTAAATCACACCGGCGAAAAACCCTATAAATGCGATCAATGTAATATGGCGTAAGTGTTTTCTTTTGAATGTCCAAGGAATCGCTATATATTTTTAAAAATTATTTCTTTCAGTTTTAATACCATTATTAAGCTGCGTAGTCATTGTCGCAGCCACACCGGCGAGAAACCACATAAATGTAAATATTGTGATCGTGCCTATGCCCAGAAGGGGGATCTGAATAAACACTTGCGGACACATGTGGGTGAAAAAACCTACATGTGTACGGAATGTCCAATGGCCTTTAAATATCTTGCAGAAATGCGCCAACACATTTGGGAAGTGCATTATCAGAAAACGAATCGTCAATCGGATGAAGAAGAAGAGGAAAAGGAAGAAGAACGAATGCCCGATATAAATGGGCAGCAGCAGCAGTCAAATGAAACGGTAGAAGATTCCAATGAGAATGAACTACAATTACAATTGCAACAAGTGATATACTTATCAAAAGAATAATGGAAAGAAGAAAATCAAAGCACCTAACACAAATTACAAATATATATTAACATATATAATATAAATAGTGTAAAAAGTATTCTATACAGTATATATTTAAAAAGTCTTTGCTTTAGTCATGGTGAAATTAGCATTCCCAACTCTGCATTTTCTGTAATTTACTTTGTCAAATTATATGACATATCCTCTGTTCCATAACATGCAAGAATCGTCTAGTCTTGCAATTTTTTCCGATATCATCATTGGAAAATCGGTTATCGTTGTGAAAACTTTTATATTCTTGCAGTTCCAAAGGAATGTTTCCCAGTAAGAATTTCCAAACTGTCAACAACTTAACTATCAAAATTGCTCTCCACCTTCTGTCTCTCTATCTTACTTACTGTTAATCAAATATTGTGGGCCATCGTATAACCTTATATTGTTTATATTGTAATTCGACGGCATTGGAGTTAGCTTTTGTGTGACCTATTAATAGATCATTATTGAGTAACGAACACACCAATTATACTTTGTTCTTTTCTTATTAGACGCTAAAATGGCAACCCTTCTGTTATTTGTTTGTCGATAACAATGTCTTCAAACTCCATTGTGAATTGTCAAATTACTTGCATTGTTCTCATTTCTCATTCGTAAACAAACAAGAGAGGTTCTCGGCATTTTGTATTACACACATTCGTAAACAACAGATATGGAGACTTTGCTTTCAGTTTACTTTTATCGAGCGTTATGTTTTGCCTTTCTTATTTGTTCGTTTGGAACGTTTTTTATTTCGGTGTTACAGAAAGCCAATATGGCGATAGAAGTGGGGATTGGATACCAGATAGGGAGCTGGACTTTTTGAAGGATTTCTTAAAAATATAAAAATATTGAACAACCGCAAACTCCTCCCCAGTGGCGACATGTCTCCGTCAAAGCTAAGAAAATGCCGTACATGTTTAAGTGAGAATGAAAATGACACCTACCTTCAACTTGTCGATTACATTGAAGAAGAGGAGGCTAAAATCATTGATATGCTGGATGAGATTGTACCAGAAATAAAAGTCAAGGAGGAGACCCAACTGTCTCGATATATTTGTCAAGATTGTGTTGACAAATTGCTAACGGGACACAGATTCCAGCAGCTATGCATAGAATCAAATAAGCATCTGCTGGCATGCCTCAACAATTTGGAATCTAAGGGAGCCAATGATGCGGAGCAAAAAGAGGAAATTGCTAATGAGGAGCTGGATCCTGATCCTCTGACAGCTGAAGTTGACTTAAAGTTAAAACAAGAACTAGAGATTAGTGATACATATAAGTCAGACATAAGTACAAAGGAATTAGAAAATAGTTTGAACTCGGATAGTGATTGGGGAGAGGATGGGGTGGATGCCAAGGCAAGTGTTACGGAGGAAAATGATAGCGGCAGTGACACAGATTCCAGGTAATATATTTAAAATTAAATCTTTACTCTAATTTTTAACAAACTTTATTTCCAGCAATGAGAAGCTGTCGGTGTTAAAGCAAAGAAGGTTGCAAAAGACTAAAAATCAGAATAAGGATGGCGAAAGGTATGAAAAGCAGAGTACATAAAATCCACGAATAACACTTCTTATTGTTTAGGAAACGCGGGAAACCCGGAAGAAAATCAAAAGGTCCACCTTATCCCTGTACTGTTTGTGGCAAATTATTGACTACTCCGTCGCATTTACAACGACACAGCCGAGTACATGAACTGAATCGTGCATTTCCCTGTGATATTTGCAAATTGAGTTTTGCCAAGGAGAAGACCTACCGGTCCCACATGCAGCTAAATCACAAGGAGATGTTTGATAAGGGCGAAGAATTTGAATGTCCTATTTGTTCGAAAACGTTTTGGAAAAAATTATCGCTATCCCAACACATGGTCATCCATAATCCGAATGCCAAAAAACGGGGAAGGCCATTGGGTAAATTAAACAAAATCAAGGAAGAGGATAATCCAGAGGAAATGCAAAATGAAAACAAGAAGACCCCGTCCTCCAGTGGTGATAAGTTATTGGAATCAAATTCCAATGAAATGGCTGCCGTTGATGGTGTAAAACATGAAATTGAAATTACCCCTCAAATATTCGATGCGTTGGAGGATTATGATGAGCCCAATGATGAGTGGTTTGATCAGGATGGGGTATATGAGGATACAGAGTAGGTTTGATGTTTTTTATTTTGAAAGAGTAATAACAATTTAAAACCCCTTTTTTAGCGATGAGGAAGAAGAAGGCACTGGAAAAGAACGACGCCCCAAACCCGTATATAATCCAGATATGGATTTTGTGGATACGGGTATTGGAGAAGTTGAAAAGTAAGTCACCACACCACAAAATTGTTTTTAAGGTAAAATGTATTGCTGTCCCCCTTTCCTTCCTTTAAATTGACTTAATTCTGGTGAAAAAACTGCAAACTATACTTTCAGACCCAGTGCACGTAACCGTCGAAATGGCAACTTCCCCTGTGGGGTTTGTGGTAAATTCTTTGACCGCCCATACCGTCTAAAACGCCACATGCCAGTACATTCCATGGACCGACCACATGCCTGTAATATCTGTAAATATCGCTTTGTCACCCCCAACCTGCTGAGGATCCATATGATACAACATGAAAATGACAATGCCACAACTTTTATGATGCAAACTCGGCCGGATGGCTTCAAATGTCCCGACTGTCCAAGGCGTTTTGAAAAACAAGCCTCCCTCTCGGCCCACCGTCAAATTCACACGCGCAACACCTCCGAAGTTAATTACCCCTGCACGGTGTGTGAACGTAATTTCATGTCTGTGCGTTCCCTAACCGAACACATCACCAACAAACACCCCGAGGTGGAGAAACATAAATGTGATCAATGTGAAAAGACTTTTGTACTACATGCCCATCTGCTGGAGCATTTGAACCGACACAAGGGTAATAAGAATTTGGTGTGTCTCATTTGTGAAAAGGAATTTGGTTACACCAACACACTGAAAGAGCATATGCGCACCCATAGTGGTGAATCTCCCTATCTTTGTCCACAGTGTGGTAAAACCTTTAGGAGTGCCAGTAATTTGAGGCAACACATGGAACGACATTTTGGTCTGAAGAAATATCAATGTCCGGAGTGTCCAAGTCGTTTTAATTGTCGTTCGGATTTGTGCAAACACACATCGACGCACACGAATGCCAAACCTCATGTTTGTGATGTATGTGGTTCACGTTTTACCCGATCCTATTCCTTGCAGAAACACAAGCTGCTTCATTCGGGAGAGAGGCCATTTAAATGTGATGAGTGTAACATGACGTGAGTTGACGAAATCGAAAGACTATTGTTGAATTATTAAATCCTCCTTCCCCTTACAGCTTTGCCATAGTATATCATTTGCGTAGGCACATGCGCACGCACACCGGCGAGAAACCATATAAATGTAAATATTGTGATCGTGCCTATGCCGAAAGTGGAGATTTGACCAAACATTTGAGAACGCATGTTGGTGAAAATACCTACATGTGTACCGAATGTCCAATGGCTTTTAAATATCAATCAGAACTGCGTCATCACATATCGGAACATTATAAAAGTTCCCAACAATCGTTGGCACAACAAACGCAGGAAGTCCCCAATGAACAGGCTCAAGAATTTGCAAAAGAAGAACCACAAAATGTGCAAAATGATTTGCAATTAACAGAAGAATCTCATCCCTCGTTGCAATTACCAATGCTAGAAGCTACAACTACCTGTCATACAACAGGCAGCGAACAGTTAATGTTATCCATGGCAAGTTCTTCAAATCACACATCTTCTCCTGTAGCTAGTTAAGATCAACACTCAATATGGCTATATATTGTAGTGTAAGGTATATTATGTAAGAACTATTTTGTTAAAGGACATACAAATTATTTTGTATAACAATTAAAAATATAGAAAACTAATTCAGACACAAAAATAAGCAGCTTGAAATATATAGTATGGAAAATTATTTTAAAGGGAGAAGCTAAATTAGTTTTCTCCATAACACTTGCTTAGTCATTCACCCCATCCTCCCACCAATCACTGTCCGATTGCAAACTATTTTCTAATTCCTTTGTACTTATGTCTGACTTATATGTATCACTAATCTCTAGTTCTTGCTTTAACTTTAAGTCAACTTCAGCTGTCAGAGGATAGGGATCCAGCTCCTCATTAGCAATTTCCTCTTTTTGCTCCGCATCGTTATCTCCCTAGATCCAAAATTGTTGAGGCATGCCAGCAGATGTTTATTTCATACTATGCATAGGTGCTGGAACCTATGTCCTGTCTTATCAACACAATCTTGACAAATATGTCGAGACAATTGTCCTCCTTGACTTTTATTTCTGGTACAATCTCATCCAGCATATCAATGATTTTAGCCTCCTCTTCTTCGATATAGTCGACAATTTGAAGGTTGGTGTCGTATTCATTCTCACTTATACAGGTGCGGCATTTTCTTAGTTTTGACGAAGATATGTTAACTTCCTTTATTATTGGTCAAAATATTTATTTTTTATAAAATCTTACAAAAAGTCCGGCTCGTCCAGGTCATTCCAATCCCACTTGATGGTGTGAATACCCCCTCCTTCGCTAAACAAACATGGTTTTGGTCACACCAAAATCAAAAACGTCCCAAATGAACAAATAAGAAAGGCAAAACATAACGCTCGATAAAAGTAAGCTGAAAGCAAAATCTCCATATCTGTTGTTTACGAATGAGTGGAATACAAAATGCCGAGAACCTCTCTTGTTTGTTTACGAATGAGATATGAGGACAACGGTATCACTTGGAACATTCATTAAAATGAACCGTGGAACTAGTTCAATATCTTACACATAAGGCCAGCTGATTTTATTCGTATTGTCCATGGCAAGGCAGATCTACCTTGTTCCATGGCTTTTAAGCCAACAGACATATTGTGACTTGAAATTAAAAGGGAGTCAAATCACAATAGTGCAAAAATTACTAGTTTATTGTCAAAAGTAGTCTTCTTGGCGCGCAGTGAATGAACGAATGAAAACCTACAAATGTACAAGTTTTTACAAATCATTGGATTTTCGTTTACACCCAATGCTGTGTGATCTATTGGTCTATAAATGGTACAAATTATTTCATTCTATTTCAGACAAAATAATAACCCTCCTGTTATTCGTTTGTCGATAATAATGTCTTCCAACTCTATTGTGAATTATACATTTACTTGCCTTGTCTTCATGTTCCATTCGTAAACAAACATCAGTGTCTCTCGGGCTTATGCATTACACTCATTCGTAAACAATAGAGATGAAGATTTTGCTTTTTTATCGAGCGTTTTGCTTTGACCTTCTTATTTGCTCGTATGGAACGTCTTTTATTTTGGTGTTACCCCAACATAAATGCATTAAAGGGGGGCTATCTCCACAATCCCTACAAATCATTCAATTATCTTGTTTCTTCCATCCTTTGGATGTATCTAATGTTTGGCAGAGAATAATGTCTTTGAAACAAGCAAACAAAGTGTCCGCCGATGCAAAGAACAGGATCAATGACAATTGTAGGACCTGCATGGAAGCAAGTGTCACGTATGAACTCACCGACTATATAGATAATTACAACATTATGGAAATGTTTGTTAGTGTTGTACCCCAAATCAGTCTCGATACGGATGGAGAGTTTTCCACATGGATTTGTCAAGTTTGTGTAGATAAACTTCTGATTGGCTATAAGTTCCAACGGCTTTGTATTGAAACAGATCGCCAGCTTCGATTGCTGGCTAAAGGCAATACCATATGGGATCCTTTAATGGAGAATGAAATGAAGTTGGAGGATAGTAACGAATATACTGATAATAATGAATATGAAATATTGAATAAAGTTGAGATCTTGGTCAAGTATGAGGAAGACTGCCCGGAAGATGTTAACAGAGAGGGGAATGACATTGACATAGACGATGAATCAGATTCAAGGTAAGGCAAATCAAATGATAACATAAGTAAAGGATTTTTTATTGTTCTTTTGTTTGCTTTTTAGTAATAAAAGGTACATGGAAAGGGACAAACCGGTTTCGAGTTGAGATCTGATCTGGCCATATACCAATATATATTAATTAATATTTTGGTTTTATTTTTTATATTAGCAAACAGATTCCATCTGTCTTGGACCGTGAACAAATGAATGGGTCTTTGAAAAAACACCATTTTTCGAATTGCAAAAGGAAAAGCAAAGGTCAAACTGTTGAAGATGCTAAAGAACAAACATGCTTGGAGACAAGCCAGGAGTTGGAACAATCATTTCTATCTGAGGAACATTTAGAAGACTTCTGTGAAGAAAGAGAATCGGAAGTAAAAGATCAGTAAGTATACCAACATATTAATGAGAAATGCTAGTCTTATTTATCATTTGCATTGTCATATTTCCAGAATCCCATCCAAACCCTATGAATGTGATATTTGCAAACAATGTTTCTCACGAGAAAAACATCTTAGCAATCACAAAAGAAAAAAACATTGCAATGCAAAAGAAGATTCCCCTGCCAATGATAAAAAAGCGGACCACATAGCCTTGCAAAAATCGAATACAGGCGATTTTCCATGTTCCAATTGCTTGGAGCATTTTGAGTCTGTCGAATTACTTGAGGAACACGAAAAATCCCATAGGAAAATGCCCAAGGATATGGTCTGTGATATTTGTGAAGAGGCATTCGAATCCATGCGACCCTTGATAAGACACATGAAATCACTACATCCCATGGCCGAGACATATGAATGCACTGTGTGTAAGCAAACTTTTATTTTAAGACAACAACTACAAAAACACATGAGACAGCTGCATAAAAAGGATGAACTAATTTGTGAAATATGCCACAAGGACTATAAATATGAAAGTTCGCTGGAAAAACATATGCTAAGTCACAATATCCAAAAATCATATCTCTGTCCGCAGTGTGGCAAAACATTTCGAAATTCCAGTAATCTAAGGGAGCATCTAACGCGACATGCCACCCAGGCCACCTATCCATGTTCGGAATGTCCTAAGACTTTTAAATGTAGGGCAGATTTAAGGAAACACAAGGCAACTCACACGAACAACCGGCCGCATGAATGTGATATTTGTGGTTTTCGTTTTTCGCGGGCCTATTCCCTGATGGAACACAAACGCATGCATACCGGCGAAAGGCCGTACACATGTGAAGAGTGTGGCAAAACCTTTGCAATTTCATATAATTTGAAAATGCATAAGCGTACCCATACCGGAGAGAAACCCTATAAATGTGAACACTGTGGCAAAGCCTTTGCTGGTGGTGGGGATTTAACCAAGCATTTGCGGCTTCATATGGGTGGGAAGACCTTCATGTGCAATCAATGTCCTGAGAAATTTAAATATCACTCGGAATTGCGCAAACATTTGTTGGAACATTTTAGAGCGAAAAATTCGAGTGGCCACGAAAAAGGGGATGTGGTAGCAAATAATGTCAAGGATTAAGGGAATGTGGAAAAGGATACGTAAGAAATAAAGGAATATTTCATAAAATAATTTAAAATTTTTAAATTAGTTACTATTTTAGCAAAGATAGCAAGGGTAGGTAGTTATGCACTGTATTACCGTTATTCATATTTACCGCTAATAAAATCAACCCCCATGAAAGAAAAGGGAGGTGAGTGTGGAAGGAAATAGGTTTATTTTCTTTCCACCCATTCCCACAAAAACTTCTTTCCGTCGATAAAACTGTGCCAACAGATGTAACTTTTGATAAACACACAAATCCTTGCAAAAAGAAATGAAATATTTTTTTTTTTTGCAAATTAAAACAATACAAAAATGCCTGCAGATTTAAAATCGTCCAACAACTGCAGAACTTGTTTGACCGGCGACAGTAAATATAATCTAAATGATAGATACGAAGAATATCTAATTTTGGAAATGTTAAATGGAATTGTGCCGGAAATAAAAATCAAAGAAAATCAACAATTTTCCCAATTTATTTGTCAAAGATGTCTGGAGAAACTTTTAACGGGTTACAAATTTCAAAGGCAATGTATTGCCACAGATCAACAACTAAAGCGGAAATTCTTTGGAAACAACAATCCATTATGGGATCCCCTAATGGAGGGCGATGTTATGAAGTTGGAAACTGTGGATGGGGATGATAATGTAGAGGCGATAATAAAATGTGATGTGGATTCATTGGACAGGGAGGATGTGACAGCAAATGTCAGTGATTCGGATTCAAGGTAGTCAAGATGAATAAGGATTTTTTGAGATTTTTCTTCAATTTTCTCCTTGTCCTGGTGTTTTTTTAGTAACGAAACGCTGAGTGTTTTAAAAGAAAGGGAGTTGCGTCTAACAAGGAGGTATGTGTTTTCTGCAAAATATGAAGGAATTTAGTTAAGGTGCTTTCTTTTTAGATCCCACATAACTTCTAGTCCGAAATCTTCTTATAAGTTTCGTAAAACCACTCAGGAATTTGGAAAATCATTAAATGTCAAAAGGAAACGTAAAAACAAAGAAGAACCCACAAATCCAGAGGAACTATTTGCAACTGAAGCGGCCAAGGACGAACTTGGTGGCGTGAAAAGCGATATATTGGAGACCGAGATGTAAGTACACGTATACAGATGTGAGTATTCTAAATGAGGACCCAAATGGGAATCGAGTCTTTGCGACTTCTCTGAAGATATAGAAGGATTATGCATAAAAGTGGATCCATAGTCACACGTTTTTGCAAGAAGAATACATACCGACTAAAACTCGGGCGCAAATTTTTAAAATTCGCAAATTTGAAGGAACCCTTGTGTGGGATTCATATCAAAATATGAACCGATTTGACTCATAAAATATTTATCTACTTAGAATTATAATTAGCTAAATTCAATAGATTCGATTGGACAATTTGCCACAAATGAGTAAAGTTCCAAAAATTTGGGGTTAGGTTGAATGTGGCCCTTTCAGAAAGTTAACCGGTGCTAATCATTTTTGGTGAGAGCAAGTTCTATATCCAATAAGAACTCCAAATACTAAGTTCTAGTAAATTTAGTTGGAAAATTCGGCTAAAATCAGCAAAATGCCGAAAATTGGAGGTTGGGTTTTGTGAGGTCCATATCAGAAAATAGACCGGTGTTAATAATTTTTGGTGAGGACCATTTATATCCACTAGGAATCCCATAAAACAAATTCTAGCCAATTTTTTTTTGGAAAATTAGACAAAAATCATCAAAATACCTAAAATTGGAGGTTAGGTTGTGTGGGGTCCCTATTAGAAAGTTAATCGGTACTAATCACTTTTGTGGGAGCAAGTTCTATATCCAATAAGAACTTCAAATACCAAATTGTAGAAAATTTAGTTGGAAAATACGGTTAAAATCAGTAACAAAATTGATAATTGGAGGTTAGGTTGTGTGGGGTCCATATCAGAAAACAGACCAATGTTAATAATTGGTAAAGACCATTTATATCTACTAAGAATACCAAATTCAGCCAATTTGTTTGGAAAATTAGACAAAAATCATTGAAATACCGAAAATTTGAGGTTAACTTGTGTGGGGTCCAGAAAGTAGACCGGTTGTAAAAATTTTAGGTGAGGAGAATATTCATACACTAAAAACCCCAAATACAAATGTTAGCCAATTCGGTTGGAAAATTTGGCTAAAATATGTAAAATACCAAAAAATTTGAGGTTAGGTATTAGAGGAGCTACATCAGAAAATTTACTGGTGTTAATAATTTTTGCTGATTAAAATGTCCATGCATTAAGAGCTTCATATGTAAGATTTTAGCTGATTCTGTTAAAAATTATATCTGAAATAGGCAAAATATCGAAAAATTAAGGTTAGGTCGAATGGGGACCACATAAGAAAATGTAGCGGTGTTAGTAATTTTTGGTGAGAAAATTTTCATGCGCTAAGAATATCAAATTTCATACAATTCTGTTGAAAAACTTGCCTATAATCAGCAAAATACCGATAATTTGAGGTTAGGTTGTGTGAGGGCAACATAAGAAAATGGACCGATGTTTAGAATTTTTTCTGAAACAAATTTCTTACCCTCTAAGAGCCTTAAATACCAAATTTTAGCAAATTCAATTGGACACTTTGGCTAATATAAGCAAAATACCGTAAATTTGAGGTTAGGTTAAGTGAGGGAAACATTAGAAATGGGGCCGACGTTCAGAATTTTTTCTGAAGAAAATTTCTTACCCTATAAGAGTTTTAAATACCAAATTTTAGCAAATTCAGTTGGACACTTTGGCTAATATTAGCAAAATATCGATACATTGAGGATAGGTCTAATGGGGGTCACATCAGAAAATATAGCGGTGTTAGTAATTTTTGGTGAAGAAGATTTCCATGCACTAAGAACATCAAATATCAAATTTCATTCAATTCTGTTCAAAAACTTCGCTAAAATCAGCAAAATGCCCAAAATTTGAGGTTAGGTTGTGTGAGGGCAACATAAGAAATGGACCGATGTTTAGAATTTTTTCTGAAACAAATTTCTTACCCTCTAAGAGCCTTAAATACCAAATTTTTGCAAATTCAGTTGAACACTTTGGCTAATATTAGCAAAATGCCGAAAATTTAAGGTTATGTTGTGTGAGGGCAACATGAGAAAATGGACCGATGTTTAGATTTATTTGTGAAGGAAATTTCTTATCCTCTAAGAACCTCAAATAACAAATGTTAGCAAATTCGATTGGGCACTTTGGCTAATATTAGCAAAATACCGAAAATTGGAGGTTAGGGTGTGTGAGAGCATCATGAGAAAATGGACTGATGTTCAGAATTTTTTGTGAAGAAAATTTCTTATCCTCTAAGAACCTCAAATACCAAATTTTAACAAATTCGATTGGAAAATTTGACTTAAATCGACAATATACCGAAAAATTGAGGTTAGGTCGAATGGGGGCCATATCTAAAAATAGGCCGGGTTTAACAATTTTTGATGAAAAATAATTCTATCCACTAAAACCTTTTGTTTTTTCTATTTTCAGACCCATCCCTACAAGTAATGGCAAAAATATCAAAACTTTTCCCTGTGAACTGTGTGACATGGTCTTCGATAGAAGTATTCCCCTTAAACATCATCTTTCCAGCCATTTGGAAAACAAACCCCATCAATGTGATATTTGTAAGCGTAGCTTTTCCTCAGCCAAATATTTGAATAATCACAAGAGCAAACGACACAAGGAAACCGAAGAACTAGACTATAAAACCCCCAATGACTCCATCAATGATGAAGACGTTTCTTGCCTGAAATGTTCAGAACGATTCCGTACTCCCAGCCTATTGAAGGAGCATCAAAAGCTAAGACATCGCCAGGCAATCACCTGTGAAATTTGTCACAATTCCTACGAATCCATACGCTCACTGATAAAGCACAGCAACGCGGAACATCCCCAGGCCGAGAAGTTCACGTGTGACAAATGCAAAGAAACATTTGTGGTGCGCCATCATTTGGTCAAACACATGAAACAACGGCACAGTCGAAAGAAGAAACCACTGTTTTGTGAGATCTGTGAACGGGATTTCAAATACAAAAGTTCCCTGGAGAAACATATGCGTAGCCATAACGGAGAGCGTCCCTATTTGTGTCCTCAATGTGGCAAAACCTTTCGCAGTTCAAGTAATCTAAGTGAACACATGACCCGACATGCGGGACAGGCAACATATTCCTGTCCCGAATGTCCAAGACGTTTTAAATGTGGTTCCGACCTGAGGAAACATCGGGCAACGCATACAAATTATAAACCTCACATCTGTGATATTTGTGGGTTTCGTTTTTCACGGGCCTATTCTCTGTTGGAACATAAGCGTTTGCACACCGGCGAGAGACCGCACAAATGTGACCAATGTCAGAAGACATTTGCAATTTTATATCATCTGAAGCGGCACATGCGTACCCATACCGGAGAGAAGCCATACAAATGTAAATATTGCAGTAAGGCCTATGCGGTGGGTGGAGATTTAACGAAGCATTTAAGAATTCATCTGGGAGAGAAGACCTATTTGTGCAATGAGTGTCCCATGGCATTTAAGTATAATTCGGAATTGCGCAAACATTTGATAGAACATTATAAGATGTCCATGAAGCAACTGGATGGAGAAGATGGCAAGCGAGAGGGAGATGAAAAATATAATGGAGAGGAAATTGAAAAGGCAAATGAATCGTTGGGAATGAAAGAATCTTAAAAGGATGATATATTGAAATATTGCAGATCGTTTAGTTATTTAACAAAATATTCAATTCAAAAAAATTATTAAAAGGATATTAACTAAAGAATCTTCCAAGCAATGAAAACAGATTTGGAAACTTCTCTATTTTTTAAGCAATTGGTAAGTTTAAAAATAAAATATCTTTTAGATTCAAAACGATTTTCTGCCTTTTATTTTTAGATAGCGTGACTGAGTGGACATTTAAGGGCCTAAAGGAAAGCAATACCCAAGCCAATATTAATATACTAATCAATCACTGCCAAGGGGTTTTGGTAGAGAATTCCTACGGGTCTTCCCCAATAAAATACTAAATAAACCCACAACAAAATATTGAATTTTGACTTTGAATGACTTTTAAAATATAATCTAAAAATATTTAGAGGCTACCAAAGGCAGATATAACTAGAGAGAAAGAAAAAACCAAACTGTAAATCTAAATAAAATAAAAATTTAGATTGAGGAATATTCAAAAGTCTCTTTAATTTCTTTCAGATATTGAAAGGACCCCAAAACCTATGTTAAGGAAAACCAAGTACATTCGAACCCGGCTTTTCAATATTTTTATTGGAGTATTCTAAAACATGTTATAAGGATATTAGAAAAAACATTCTAATAATTTTAAATTTTTGAGGAAAGTTAAAGTTTTTTTAGCGTGGATTTTCAATATTATTTGCTGTGGACTTTTGAAGTACTTTTTCAACAATATTAAGAGGTTTTAGAATGTCGATTCAGAGATATTAAAAAAACTGTAAATGTAAAGGATATTAAAAGGTCTCGAGACGAGGATTTTAAAATGATTATTAGGGATATTCTAAGATCTCTAAATTTGATTTTTTAAAATTTTTTTTTTAAGGATTTCATGGCCATTTTAAAATATACTATTTTTCATCTTTAAAAAACTGAATTAAAAAACTAGCTAAAAGCCCCGAAATGTCAATATTTAAGGAGTTATGAGCGTTCTAAAGCAGGCTATAAAGAAACTGCAATCAAAACGATGCTAAAAACCCCGAAATGTCAATATTTAAGGAGTTATGAGCGTTTTAAAATACCCTATTTTTCCTCTTTAAATATCTGCAACCAAAACGATGCTAAAAACGCCGAAACATCAATATTTAAGGAGTTATGAGCGTTATAAAATAGCCTATTCTTCCTCTTCAAACATCTGCAATCAAAACGATGCTGAAAACCCCGAAATGTCAATATTTAAGGAGTTATGAGCGTTTTAAAATAGGCTATTTTTCCTCTTTAAATATCTGCAATCAAAACGATGCTAAAAACCCCGAAATGTCAATATTTAAGGAGTTATGAGCGTTTTAAAATAGGCTATTTTTCCTCTTTAAATATCTGCAATCAAAACGATGCTAAAAACCCCGAAATGTCAATATTTAAGGAGTTATGAGCGTTTTAAAACAGGCTATAAAGAAACTGCAATCAAAACGATGCTAAAAACCCCGAAATGTCAATATTTAAGGAGTTATGAGCGTTTTAAAATAGGCTATTTTTCCTCTTTAAATATCTGCAATCAAAACGATGCTGAAAACCCCGAAATGTCAATATTTAAGGAGTTATGAGCGTTTTAAAACAGGCTATAAAGAAACTGCAATCAAAACGATGCTAAAAACCCCGAAATGTCAATATTTAAGGAGTTATGAGCGTTTTAAAATAGGCTATTTTTCCTCTTTAAATATCTGCAATCAAAACGATGCTAAAAACCCCGAAATGTCAATATTTAAGGAGTTATGAGCGTTTTAAAACAGGCTATAAAGAAACTGCAATCAAAACGATGCTAAAAACCCCGAAATGTCAATATTTAAGGAGTTATGAGCGTTTTAAAACAGGCTATAAAGAAACTGCAATCAAAACGATGCTAAAAACCCCGAAATGTCAATATTTAAGGAGTTATGAGCGTTTTAAAATAGGCTATTTTTCCTCTTTAAATATCTGCAATCAAAACGATGCTGAAAACCCCGAAATGTCAATATTTAAGGAGTTATGAGCGTTTTAAAATAGGCTATTTTTCCTCTTTAAATATCTGCTATCAAAACGATGCTAAAAACCCCGAAATGTCAATATTTAAGGAGTTATGAGCGTTTTAAAATACCTTATTTTTCCTCTTTAAATATCTGCAATCAAAACGATGCTAAAAACCCCGAAATGTCAATATTTAAGGAGTTATGAGCGTTTTAAAACAAGCTATAAAGAAACTGCAATCAAAACGATGCTAAAAACCCCGAAATGTCAATATTTAAGGAGTTATGAGCGTTTTAAAATACCCTATTTTTCCTCTTTAAATATCTGCAATCAAAACGATGCTAAAACCCCCGAAATGTCAATATTTAAGGAGTTATGAGGGTTTTAAAACAGGCTATAAAGAAACTGCAATCAAAACGATGCTAAAAACCCCGAAATGTCAATATTTAAGGAGTTATGAGCGATTTAAAATACCCTATTTTTCCTCTTTAAATATCTGCAATCAAAACGATGCTAAAAACCCCGAAATGTCAATATTTAAGGAGTTATGAGCGTTTTAAAACAGGCTATAAAGAAACTGCAATCAAAACGATGCTAAAAACCCCGAAATGTCAATATTTAAGGAGTTATGAGCGTTTTAAAATACCCTATTTTTCCTCTTTAAATATCTGCAATCAAAACGATGCTAAAATCCCCGAAATGTCAATATTTAAGGAGTTATGAGGGTTTTAAAACAGGCTATAAAGAAACTGCAATCAAAACGATGCTAAAAACCCCGAAATGTCAATATTTAAGGAGTTATGAGCGTTTTAAAATACCCTATTTTTCCTCTTTAAATATCTGCAATCAAAACGATGCTAAAACCCCCGAAATGTCAATATTTAAGGAGTTATGAGGGTTTTAAAACAGGCTATAAAGAAACTGCAATCAAAACGATGCTAAAAACCCCGAAATGTCAATATTTAAGGAGTTATGAGCGTTTTAAAATACCCTATTTTTCCTCTTTAAATATCTGCAACCAAAACGATGCTGAAAACCCCGAAATGTCAATATTTAAGGCGTTATGAGCGTTTTAAAACAGGCTATAAAGAAACTGCAATCAAAACGATGCTAAAAACCCCGAAATGTCAATATTTAAGGAGTTATGAGCGTTTTAAAACAGGCTATAAAGAAACTGCAATCAAAACGATGCTAAAAACCCCGAAATGTCAATATTTAAGGAGTTATGAGCGTTTTAAAATACCCTATTTTTCCTCTTTAAATATCTGCAACCAAAACGATGCTGAAAACCCCGAAATGTCAATATTTAAGGAGTTATGAGGGTTTTAAAACAGGCTATAAGGAAACTGCAATCAAAACGATGCTAAAAACCCCGAAATGTCAATATTTAAGGAGTTATGAGCGTTTTAAAACAGGCTATAAAGAAACTGCAATCAAAACGATGCTAAAAACCCCGAAATGTCAATATTTAAGGAGTTATGAGCGTTTTAAAATAGGCTATTTTTCCTCTTTAAATATCTGCTATCAAAACGATGCTAAAAACCCCGAAATGTCAATATTTAAGGAGTTATGAGCGTTTTAAAATAGGCTATTTTTCCTCTTTAAATATCTGCAATCAAAACGATGCTAAAAACCCCGAAATGTCAATATTTAAGGAGTTATGAGCGTTTTAAAACAGGCTATAAAGAAACTGCAATCAAAACGATGCTAAAAACCCCGAAATGTCAATATTTAAGGAGTTATGAGCGTTTTAAAATAGGCTATTTTTCCTCTTTAAATATCTGCAATCAAAACGATGCTAAAAACCCCGAAATGTCAATATTTAAGGAGTTATGAGCGTTTTAAAATAGGCTATTTTTCCTCTTTAAATATCTGCAATCAAAACGATGCTAAAAACCCCGAAATGTCAATATTTAAGGAGTTATGAGCGTTTTAAAATACCCTATTTTTCCTCTTTAAATATCTGCAATCAAAACGATGCTAAAACCCCCGAAATGTCAATATTTAAGGAGTTATGAGGGTTTTAAAACAGGCTATAAAGAAACTGCAATCAAAACGATGCTAAAAACCCCGAAATGTCAATATTTAAGGAGTTATGAGCGTTTTAAAATACCCTATTTTTCCTCTTTAAATATCTGCAATCAAAACGATGCTAAAACCCCCGAAATGTCAATATTTAAGGAGTTATGAGGGTTTTAAAACAGGCTATAAAGAAACTGCAATCAAAACGATGCTAAAAACCCCGAAATGTCAATATTTAAGGAGTTATGAGCGTTTTAAAATAGGCTATTTTTCCTCTTTAAATATCTGCAATCAAAACGATGCTAAAACCCCCGAAATGTCAATATTTAAGGAGTTATGAGGGTTTTAAAACAGGCTATAAAGAAACTGCAATCAAAACGATGCTAAAAACCCCGAAATGTCAATATTTAAGGAGTTATGAGCGTTTTAAAATAGGCTATTTTTCCTCTTTAAATATCTGCAATCAAAACGATGCTGAAAACCCCGAAATATCAATATTTAAGGAGTTATGAGCGTTTTAAAATAGGCTATTTTTCCTCTTTAAATATCTGCAACCAAAACGATGCTGAAAACCCCGAAATGTCAATATTTAAGGCGTTATGAGCGTTTTAAAATAGGCTATTTTTCCTCTTTAAATATCTGCAATCAAAACGATGCTAAAAACCCCGAAATGTCAATATTTAAGGAGTTATGAGCGTTTTAAAACAGGCTATAAAGAAACTGCAATCAAAACGATGCTAAAAACCCCGAAATGTCAATATTTAAGGAGTTATGAGCGTTTTAAAATAGGCTATTTTTCCTCTTTAAATATCTGCTATCAAAACGATGCTAAAAACCCCGAAATGTCAATATTTAAGGAGTTATGAGCGTTTTAAAATACCCTATTTTTCCTCTTTAAATATCTGCAATCAAAACGATGCTAAAAACCCCGAAATGTCAATATTTAAGGAGTTATGAGCGTTTTAAAATACCCTATTTTTCCTCTTTAAATATCTGCAATCAAAACGATGCTAAAACCCCCGAAATGTCAATATTTAAGGAGTTATGAGGGTTTTAAAACAGGCTATAAAGAAACTGCAATCAAAACGATGCTAAAAACCCCGAAATGTCAATATTTAAGGAGTTATGAGCGTTTTAAAATACCCTATTTTTCCTCTTTAAATATCTGCAATCAAAACGATGCTAAAAACCCCGAAATGTCAATATTTAAGGAGTTATGAGCGTTTAAAATAGGCTATTTTTCCTCTTTAAATATCTGCTATCAAAACGATGCTAAAAACCCCGAAATGTCAATATTTAAGGAGTTATGAGCGTTTTAAAATACCCTATTTTTCCTCTTTAAATATCTGCAATCAAAACGATGCTA